AACAAATCCACCAAAAGATATCCCTATTGGCCTGAAAGAAATGTTACACTGTAATTTAAGAAGTTAGAATTTCATGTATGTTAATAGCTCTAATTAATACGATAAACCTTTCCTTTTGGGATTTGGCAGTGAGAACAGCTCAAGCAGGAGTGCCATCTGAATCCCTGGAAACCTAAAATAACATTTTTACAAAAACAAAAGCCACAGTGTTCACAGTCACTAACTTGGCCTGGAAAGTAAGAGAGTTGGAAATATAAAGATGGTATCTTTAACAAGTGTCATTCTACTATTTTACAGCTCTTGCCAATACAGCACTTTAAAAGATGTGCATTACAGTGAATTTCCAATTGAAAAAGTAAACCCCAAATATGGGCAAAATTAGCAGCCCCATTCCTTCTCATTGTAATACATGATTAAGTAGGTGTTACAAAGATGAAAAAGCAGAGCCATCTCTTTCTAATCCTGACAGACATCCTCCCCTTCTTCACTGATCCTTTATCTTGCAGTGAAGACCTGCATAAGGAAGTCGATTCCTGGTATTCTCCTGATAAGAATGTTTCTTTCCAGAGGCAGCAGCAAGGACTACATTGCTTTAGCAGACACTGTTCATGAACTTGTGCCAAGTTTCTCCGAACCTTGGAAACTGGGAAAGTATCTGTGCTCCTGATTAATAATATTCAGCAACCAGGCTGAAACCAGATGAAGTATAATCACTAGTAGGGAGGGAGAGTCAGTCAGAGTTCCTGTGGTTGAGCTGCTGAGAAGACATTAACACCACTAAGAGCACACAGGGCTTTCGTGCCCAGGTGCTGACATGAGCCTGAGCTGAGATCCGTCAAGGGATTAAGACCTCCTCTGTCTCAGGGACAATACAGAATGTGCCTCCTCTCAATTCCCCCACACCCAGTTTAAATTACTCTTCTACCTAATCTCTTTAAGGCTTGAGTTGAGGCTACTTTGTAAATTATCCTCAGTTTATATCACACAATAATCATGGATGCTTATTCTATCTCCCTCATATGCTGCAACATACTCCAAGTCAGAGTCATCTCTCTTGATCCCCATTCACCCATCATATAAACATTTCAAACAGTACATGAGAAACTGACATAAATAGATCAGAGCGAGTGGGGCTGGGTGTCTTCCAGCCTTGTTCCCCAAAGATAACCACTATTAAGTTTCTTGTATCTCCCTCCATAAATGTTTGTGGGCATATACAAACTTTTATGTTATTCAATGTTCACTCCAATGAGCAAACCTTAAAAGAAATATGGATTGATATACGGAATTTTCAATCATTTCTGATTCAGGGTAGTATATAAATAATTTTAACTTACTGCAAAATAAGGTGTGTGTGTGTGTGTGTGTGTGGACATTCCAAGGTAGATACAACCCGCCTTCATCTACCACTCACACCCCCTCCACCTTCCAGGACTTCAGCAAGTATTGCATTTGGGTAGCAGGTGGAATTACCAGGGCACAAGCCTGGTGAGTCCAGCTCTGTCTCTAACACAGTGGGTATTCCCTGGCCAACTCACTCCATCTCTCTGAATCTCAGTTTCCTCTCTTACAAAATGAGAAGGTATTTTCAGAAGTCCCTTTGAGAGTTCAGGATTGAAGCTGATAATCAAGTACTGACAAATAAAACAGGTACACCACGGCCAAAGTATGAAATTGGTATCAGGAAGAAAATCAAACATAGTGTCACGGCTTACCAGGAGAATATGGATGCAAATTAGACTGGAGCAGTTATTTAAAAAATACTTTTAATTGAGGTATAACTGACATATAACATTATATTAGTTTCAGGTATACAACAATTTCACATTTATATACAGAGCAAAATGATCATCACAATAAGTCTAGTTAACATACAGCACCATCCCAGTTACAAAAAAATTTTTCTCTTGTGATGAGAACTTTTATGATCTAATCTATTAGCAACTTTCAAATATGCAATATAGTATTATTAATTATAGTCACTATGCTGTACATTATATCTCCAGGACTTATTTTATAACTAGAACTTTGTACCTTTTGATCGCCTTTACCCATTTTGTGCTCTCCATAGAGAGAACTTGGGTTTCTTTGCTTTTGTTTTTTGGAATCCACATATAAATGAGATCATATGGTATTTGCCTTTCTCTGTCTTATTTCTCTTAGCATAATCTCCTCTAGGTCCATCCATGTTGTCACAAATGGCAGGGTTTTGTTCTTTTTTTTTTTTTTTAAAAATTTTATTTATTTGACAGAGAGACACAGCGAGAGAGGGAACACAAGCAGGGGGAGTGGGAGAGGGAGAAGCAGGCTTCCCGCGGAGCAGGGAGCCTGATGTGGGGCTCGATCCCAGGACCCTGGGATCACGACCCAAGCCGAAGGCAGATGCTTAACGACTGAGCCACCCAGGCGCCCCAGAGTTTTATTCTTTTTTATGGTTGAATTGCATCTATATACCCCACAACTTCTTTATCCATTCATCCATAGTTGGACACTTAAGTTTGTTTCCATATCTTGGCTATTGTAAATGATGCTGCAATGAACATGGGGATGTACAGACCTTTTCAAGTTAGTGTTTTCATTTTCTTTGGATAAACACTCAGCAGTGGAATTGCTGGTACATACGGCAGTTCTGTTTTTAATTTTTTGGCCAAAAGGTTTCTGTTTTCCATGTGGCTGCACCAATATACATTCCCACCAACAGTGCACAAGGGTTCTCTTATGTTCTCCACATCCTCGCCATCGCTGGTTCTTTCCTATATTTTTGATGACAGCCACCCTAACAGGTGTGAGATGATAGCTCACTGTGGTTTTGATCTGCATTTTTCTGATGACCAGTGATGTTGAACATCTTTTCATGTACCTGTTGGCCATCTGTATGACTTAATTGGAAAAATGTCTGTTCAGATCTTTTGTTCATTTCTTAATTGAAGTGTGTTTTTTTTTGCTACTGAGTTTTCTTAATTTCATTTATTTGACAGAGAAAGAGAAAAAGAGAGCACAAGAAGGGGGAACAGCAGAGGGAGAGGGAGAAACAGGCTCCCCACTGAGCAGAGAGCCCAACGCAGGACTTAATCCTAGGACCCTGGGATCATGACCTGAGCCGAAGGCAGACGCTTAACTAGCTGAGCCACCCAGGTGCCCCTTAATTTCTCTTTCTGGTATTTTGTTATTAGAATTTAGAAACACAATAGATTTTTGTATACTGATTTTGTATCCTGAAACTTTATTTCTTTCACTAGTTCTACCAGTTCTTTGGTGGAGTCTTTAGGGTTTTCTCTATGTAATATATCATCTGCAAAGTTTTACTTCCTTCACTTTCTACTTTAGATCCCCTCTTATTTCTTTCTCTTACCTAACTGCTTTGGCTAGGACTTCCAATACTATGTTGAATAAAAGTGGTGAGAGTGAGCATCCCTGTCTTATTCCTGATTTTATCACTGAGTATGATGTTAGATATGGGCTTGTCATATTATGGCCTTTATTATGTTGAGGTATGTTCCCTCTATACCCACTCTGTTGAGAGTTTTTTTTTTTTTAATTATAAATGGATGTTGAACTTTGTCAAGTGTTTTTTCTAACTCTATTAGATGATCATATAATTTTTATCCTTCATTTTGTTAATGTGGTATATTACACTGATTGATTTGCAGATGTTGAACTATCCCTGCATCTCTGGAATAAACACCACCTGGTCATGGTGCATGATCCTTTTAATGTATATTGAATTCAGTTTGCTAATATTTTCTTGAGGATTTTTGCATCTATGTTCATCAGGGATATTGGCCTATAATTTTCTTTTCTTTTCTTTTCTTTTTTAAGATTTTATTTATTTATTTGACAGAGAGAGACACAGCGAGAGAGGGAACACAAGCAGGGAGAGTGGAAGAGGAAGAAGCAGGCTTCCCGCCGAGCAAGGAGCCCTATGCGGGGCTCGATCCCAGGACCCTAGGATCATGACCTGAGCCAAAGGCAGATGCTTAAGGACTGAGCCACCCAGGCGCCCCTATAATTTTCTTTTCTAGTGGCTTCTTGTCTGGTTTTGGTATCAGGGTAATGCTGGCATTGTAAAATGAGTTTGGAAGCATTCCCTTGCAGCAATTTTTAAAACAATTTCCTGAGCTATAATTCATAGGAAAATCCACATCTTGTTTTACCACAGAGGTATATCAAGCAATATACACTGATCCTGAAGTTATCTTAGGATACAGCCACAATCCTTCAAAAGTAGAGCCAACCCATGTTTACTTATTTCTCAGCAATGCATGTGACCTTCTCAACAGCCTCAGAGGGCTCATGAGTATTTTTCCATTGTCAAGAGTCATAGATAAGTTCAATGTTACATTCAGTAGCTATGGGTCATAACTTAAGCAACTAGTTAGCATCTTAATTCCCATTTGCCACCTCAGTGACAATTAGCTGCCTTACCAGGGAGGAGGTCTTCCCGTTGGTCAGACCACATATGTTGTTCTATTCTGACCACATCCTTTACCAGGAGCACAGATAAATATCCAGAGGAGTGTCAAAGTGATGAGGGAGGGACTTGGGAGAAAGGAAAAAGGTGCTGGAAGTGGGTAACACCATCTGTGTTAAACATCTATTTGGAATCTGACTGCAAGCTAACAGTAGCAAAAGCTACTAATAATGGTTGAAAATCTTTGTTTTAGGGCAAAGCTAAGAAAGGGAAAGTGGCATTCACAGTGTCTTTGTCAGGTGTTTTTGCCATTTCTGTCAGACGAAGGAGAGATGGAGGTTAAGAGAACAAATTCTGGAGTTAGAAAAGTACAGGTTCTGCCACTATTAGACTATTACCTAATCAATCTGAGCCTCTATTGTTTATTTATTTCAAAGAGACAGACAAGGCATTACATGCATTGTGCTTATTATTATTATCATCTAGAAGTGTGGGTTCTGTGGGCTATCTCCTGTGAAATACAAGATCCTTAAAAAACAATTACAAGTAAAACTGAAAAATCATCCTCTGGTAAAGGAGCTGTACTTACCTGAAAGGAATTCACAGAGCGAAGGGATGGCGGCAGCATAGCATTATTCCTTGATAATATCAACAGAAGCTCCAAGCAGGTTGCAGAGGGCAGGGTTAGAGAGTGGATGCTGATATCACTTTCCCAAGCACTGGAAAGCCTGGAACACATTGATGTGTATAATTTCAAAATTGTGGCTCAGTCGGTTCAGCGTCTGACTCTTGATTTCAGCTCAGATCATGAGTTCAGGATTGTGAAATCCAGCTCAGTGATGGGCTCCAGGCCCAGCTGGAGCCCGCTAAAGATTCTCTCTCTCCCTATGTCTCTGCCCCTCCCCCACCCGCTCACACTTTCTCTCAAAAAAAAAAAATTTTTTTTTTCATAAATGTGTCTGGTCATAATTAGTTCAAAAATCTGATGGAGAAGGAGAAGACTTTCAAGTGTGGAAGGGAAAAGCAATGCACAAAAAAATAGAAATAAAATGGTTATACTAAAAATTCAGAGTAAATATCGAAGACATCTTTATAGTGTTTTTGATATAAAACAGATCAGGCAATTTTTTCAGGTATTTCATACTCAAAGTTCACGAGTCACATGAAATGCAGTCTTATTTGTGAGGGACCTACTTGGGGTGGGGGATGGATAACAGCTAACATACTGAATGCTTCCTATAGTCTATGCCCTTTTCTATATGTAACATCGTGATCACCCCTCAGATACCTTACCTATGAAATGAAACTATCGTTATTCTATTCTACAGATGTGGAAATTGTTTCTGAGCTGGATATGCCCTATGAAGTGTCTAGTTCGTTGATTTTCAAACCTTTAAAAAGTGACGGAATCCTTTTATCACAAAGTCTTGTGAAAGCTCCATTTATAATACAAATAAAAGCAAAGCTGCTCTGTTGGAACGGGAAAGGTCGGCAGGAGGCTCTCTTCATCTTCCAGAGCAGCCTATGAAGCATCTCTGCTACATCCCATTGAACCTACTTGAAAATTATTTCATTCAAGAAATGAGGAAACCGAAGGCTAGAAAAGTAGAGATTTCTCTGGGATGAGGTATGTGTTGGGAAATGATATGGCTGGGTCTAGAATCCCGGTTTCCTGACTTCCTATCTAGTGCTTAAAGTAAAGGGGAAAATCAGAAAGTCATTATGGGAAAACATTTACTTGAGTATTTCCTAACGGTGCCCCTATCAAAGTATCTCTTATCACTGTCCTAATTTTTAAAAAGAAATATATATATATTTGCCATTTACATAAACTTCTTTTTGTAAAGCAACCTTTAACCCAATCGGTGAATTCTGGAATGTCAGAGAGCATCAGTGGCTAAGGGAATAATGGATTTTAGCGTTTATATGGTAAGTCGTAGCAGATGGTTTAGCTGTGTCATCAGTCAGGTTACCTGTGCTATCATTTCTGACATGGGGTGGGGAATTAACTCTTCTCTGAAGCATTTGCCAACTAGCTGGACTGGAATATGACACTGCCCACTTTCCTAAAAAATGGTCTGTTTTCAGCAAGGGCACATTTGGAGTGTCTTCTTCGTGTTTTAAACACTTCTATTTTATATTGATCGACTATGTTATTCTTTCTCCTCTTATTAATTATACAACATTGTCAACATTTCTCTGGGGTGGAAATAAAAATCTCACTGTCTTTAGTAAAAGTCAAATGTAGCACTAGTGCAGTGGCTCTAAGCTCATTCTCCCTAACCCCTTCCTTATGCCCTCTACAAATCACGCCATTACTTGCATTACACTAAACACATTATGTCTTGCTCGTGCAGTTTTCTGGACCTGGAAGGCTGTTAGGCTTCCTGGTGAACTTCTGTTTACCCGGCAAGACCTACATAGGTATCACTTCCTTGGAGACATCCTCTTGTTTCCTTTATAAGAATGAACTACTTGCCTAATACCATATTTGTATCCATTACAACACTTAACCACCACCCTCCTTGTATTCTTATTTGAGCTGTGTGACTCATCCTAAATCAAACATGAGCAACCATAACCTGTGGATTCCTCTAACTTTGCTACCCAGTGTGGAAATAAAGATTAGATTAGTTGTTTTTCCTCAGACACACCCAGGTATTAACCTTTTACTGGCTGTAAGAAAAACATTCCACTTACATTTGTATGTTCAATAATTCAATTTACTTTCCAAGTGTTATTTTTATAATCAGAAATGGGATTTCTGGGTCACACAAAGGAATGTTTAACTGCTGCTCAAAGGTGTCAACATGCTGCTAAGTGGCTATGGTGTGATCTATCAAAAAGGACACTCAAGTAGAAATTAAAATTCTTTAGCATTCCTTGTCACTGACCAGTGACAAGCACTCTTGGACAAGTCTGGTTTCCTCATGAGATCCTGGAGTTCACACACAACCTATACAATGTACTAAACGACCAAAATTTACACAAAGGGACATTCATCACACTAATGATATCCATAGTCACAAAAAAGATACAATTAGTTATACATGTTAGTTATTCATGTCTCTATGTAATTACAAATATTTGTATGGTATGTGAATTCAACTTTGGCATTTTAAATCTAATCCTTCAAGTATTCTGTGATTTATCCCTATTGAAGCTCATGAAGGTGAAGAGTGTTGTCCTGATCACATGGTAGGTAATGGAAAAGAAACTCAAGCATGAGCCTCTCCATCTAAATTTCATTCTCTTTTGTATCTAGAAATGCTTGGTATTTCTGAACAAATTCTAGCCAAAAAAATTGAAAAGCCCAAGGGTAAATGATGGAGCAAATTTCAGGTATCTTAGAACACCTCATTTCTTAATAATTTGAACCACCTTATTTTTGAAATTAAGACAACCCAGCTGGACCTCTGATGACTTAAATTCCTAATGTTTATCCATTCATTCTTTCTTTTCCCACAGTATATATTCATTAGCCCCAGGATTTACCTTTTTATTGTTAAGTTTTATAAATGTTCTCTATAATCTTAACCACATATTAATCACATGAAACATCCATATATGTGGACAAAGACAGAAAGTAATATATGAAAAAAAAGATATAATCTTAACCACATATTAATCACATGAAACATCCATATATGTGGACAAAGACAGAAAGTAATACATGAAAAAAAAATGATAACAGCTGTTTTGAAAAGTTAGAACTATGGGTAACTTTTCCCCAAAACCTCAGTTAATGTTTTTACATTGTGGTTTGTGTTTTGTTTTGTTTTGGTTTTATCTTGTTTTGTTGTGACTTAGGAAGAAAGAAATAAAGAAAGCAGGAAGATGGAGAAATGGTCTGGCATATTTAAAATTCAGTTTATCTTAAAACAACCACCAAACTCATTATGAAAATTTAAGGCATGTGTTAATTAAGCCAGAAGTATCCTTGAGACTATCTACCCATGGCTCAAATATCAATACAAATTTCTGCTAATGATATAAACATTTTAAGAAACACTGGATTATAATAATCCAGAATTTGGATTATTTCTGGTATTTCCTGCAAAAACATCCTAGACTATTAGACCTAAATTAGTAAACTTCCACTATAAAACTGACAAGAAAGATAATTCAAAGAGAATAACAATCTGACATTAATTGAAATCTATTTTGGTGATTTTTAAAGTAGTGGGAGAGAAGCTTTCCTAAGAGACCAGAACTGTCAGCCAGGTGACCTTAGTCAAAGAGACCAAAATGCAAGCAGAGGACACTCCATCCTTATTTCTGAACTTTTGACTTGACAAAATTCCCTAGAGAAACAACTATGGCCTCTCTATTTTTAATGAGGCAATGAGAAGGGGGAAAAGAAGTCACTTTCCATCACTTCTAACAAAATAGTGAAATTGAGAATGAATCAAACACCAATAAATATCAAGAAAAGAACTTGAGAAAATAGAAAGGTGATACAGTCTACTAAAAACGAGAGGTTGTTAATGTAATAGATGAAAATGACAAATAGAGATGAGAAAACAACTCAACCAAAAATTAAAATATTTCAAATGAGTCCAACATATTATATAGAAAAAAATAATATGGTATAGGAGAACTCAAGATAAAAGTATTTAACTTAAATTTCATGTTTTTCATATTTTAGCAATGGATCTGGACTCCTCAGTCTTAGAAGGACCTAAGAAAGGAAATAGCCTATCAATGATGTTAAAATATAATATTGTTTATATCTGCATATTTTTAAATTTAAATTTCAAAGCTATAACAATGATAAAGCTCATCAATTTAAGCTCTCAAAATACCAAAACAAGCAAATGACTACAACTAAGTGCTAGACTTATTATAAACATACAACTATTTAATAAATAATTTGGAGAAGGAATCAAAATTTTATAAATTCTTATACTGTCAAGAACACAAAATTCAGAATCAACCAAATATACTGTTTATCTGTTATGATAAACCATATTAACTCCAAGGTATTTAAATATTTTAAAAGAACTAATTAGTAAAAACAGAACCTGAAAAGTGTATAAATCAACTGCTCCTTATAAATTTCAAAATAAGGTTCAATAAGTCATGAACAGCAGTTCTTTGAAATTAGAGTATTTTCTTTGAAAATTACAGAAAAAAACCAAGTTTTTTTAAGTCATAAATGTCAACACTGTTCTTCAGTTCTCTTTAAACTAAAAAGCTCTTCAGAGAAAAAAATTTAGGTACACAATCCCTGAAAGCTATGCCTTTTAAACTTTGTCCATAAGACATATGAATTGTCAAGGCAATCTCTCTCTCCCACAAATCAAAAAGCACGGGGAAAATGGTTCTGCTTTGAATAAGACACCAACAAGGCAATCTCAAAATTAGGTGTATTTAGGGGCACCTGGTGGCTCAGTCGTTAAGTGTCTGCCTTCGGCTCAGGTCATGATCCCAGGGTCCTGGGATCCAGCCCCGCGTCGGGCTCCAGGCTCCACGGGAAGCCTGCTTCTCCCTCTCCCACTCCCCCTGCTTGTGTTCCCTCTCTCACTGTGTCTCTCTCTGTCAAATAAATAAATAAAATCTTAAAAAAAAAAAAATTTGGTGTATTTGTTCATGCCAAAAAACAATAAAAGATTTTGTTTTTTATAAATGCATATGTTATTACAAGATACCAGTTGTTGAGAACTTAGAGATTAGACCGGCAATACTTTATTTATTGTTGTTTCCAAGTATTCTGCAACTTATAAAC